ATTTAGGCCCAAACTGGGCCCAAGCCCGGCCCGGCCCGCAAATTTCCGGGCTTAGCCCGGCCCATTCCCCACCCTAATATCATCATAATACTAAACAAGCTATTCTAAAGAAGTAAATTTCGCTCCATGTTTTGAATTAATATCAAACTCCTTACTAATTAATCATGAAATAATATTCTTTAAATTCAACATCTTCTTTTTAGGTTTTAAAAAATTGTTGAAAAACAGCTGATGCAGTAATACAGATTCATCAGTAAAATTTGTTTCATATGATTCTAATGTTTTTAACATAGGAAGAATATCCATCGAATAACAATAGTGAAGTGTAATATTATAGAGCTTGTGATTGCATTTTCAAACTCTCCATTTGTTTTGGATCTTCTATCAATGTGTCATTTTAGACCTTGAATGTCTTCAACTGCAATGTAAATATGAGCTTCACATTGACCTTCTTCATTTGTAAAATCTATATATAATGGATAAATTTCTTTGACTTTTTTAAGAGATTCTTTACATGTTTTATTTGTCATATAATCCTGTTTAAACCTGATCTTTAAATATATTACCATTACTTTTTTCAAATACAAATTACCTAGACTGATGAAGATATAATTACATTATATTTCTAGAATTTGTTGGGATATCATCAATAGTTAAATTTACTGAATAGATTTAGAATAAAAGTTAAAGCAATATGCTAAATACAAATTGCATTGAATTTAATATACTGCTTACTCATAGAGTCTAAACTTTCAATAACAAGACTATTCATATTTAACAATTCAAGAGTCAGAGAATTCATTGAATTGAAAACCAGTTTATATTGAATGTTGTTAAGAAAATTGCAAATTTCAGTTATTGAAAGTGTTCTGCTGGATTATCGAACCAAGACTTGCGATAAATATCTATATAATCCAATGGAATACCATTAATTGAAGATTTCTGTATTCCTGATATTACTTTATGAGCAATTTTAAAACTTGTCATATTATTGAATGATTGGTATCCACTTGAAATTTCTCAGAATAAACACCAATGTTATTGATATCAAAAGCCTTATTCCACTTGTATAATGAAATATTTTTTAAATATTGTGAATCAGAATAAACAACCATTCCATCTTCAAGAGATCCAGAATTAGTATCCAGAGATTTGGATAAACCAAGATCCACAATTATTACTGTTTTCGAAATAGTTGAAATCATCCCTAAAAAATATTTTTTGAGTATATGCATATACTCTGTATACTTCGTATATCAGATTACTTAGGTACTTACATAAGTATATAATTATTAATTCTTTACAATTGTCAATTATACAATTGTTCATTGTATAATTGTCAATAAACCATGTATGTGTATACATAATTTAAAATATGAAACAAAATGAATATTTAACAATAAAATGTAACCTGGCAGATTTAATTTTAACTGCCATAAAAAAACTTACTACATATTAGTTTCATCTGTCAGTTTCATATTAATATAGATTAACATTTGCATGCATATGTTTAACCTTCTTTTTAAACTTATTATAGTAATTAAGACAATATCATATATATTCGCAATTAATCAAATCTAATAATATATTTTGTAATCTTTTTATTAGTCAGCCAGGATGATCTTTCAAAGTGCAGTTATACAAGACACTAATATAAAATTGCATGAATAAAAAGATTGTAATAGACAAGTTATTGGTACATATTGATACTATAGTGTAATTTTATTATATGTGGTTTTATATTATATGCTGTGACTCACAACCATCCTGGTTAACTCTTTCTACAGTTTAGTAATAATATGAGTCTTTGAAATATTGATAATTTGAACTTTATAAATATGAATGATATATTACTATGATGGTTTAATATTTTTAAAGTTAATAATTTTTTATGAATACCTATAATTGTTAAATTTGTATGATGATAAAAGACAAAATCTAAAATTGTTGATGAGATTATGATAAAATCTCAAAACTTTTTGATAAAGACAAAAGGTAAGGCTTAGTAAAATGCTAATAAAAAAATCCTATAAAATCTAAGACAAAATGCTAAGTTATAATTAGTTAGGTTACATATAAAAGTTAAGTACTACTGTTTATGTAAATTTAATTTGAAGACTATCGATTGTTAAGAATCCAATTTAATTATTAGCAGTTTGTAACAAAAGGTGTAATTCTATGATTTTCATAATAATAATAGTAAAGAATCTAGATTTTCTATTTATTATATATTTGATTAATGAGATCTATATATATTTGAAAATTTATACAATTCTCTTGGAATCAAAATCATCTAATTTCTCACAATTTTGCATTATATAATGCTCTGCAGAGGGCATACCTTTTTTTGATTCTTAAACATTTATAAAAAATCAGTTCTAAAGAATTGATTCTTATAGTGATTTGCAAAAAGATGTGACCTTACGATTTTTGTGATAGAGATTCCAGATTTTTTATCAATTATATATTCTATCAGTAATTTTTATATAAATTTGGAAATCTGTATAATTCTCTTAAAATTAAAAAATCATTCAATTTCTCATAATTTTATATGATACTACATAAGAGTTGGCTAAGTAGGTTTTGGATTCTCTGAAGTTTTTCACATTTGTAGTAGATAAATAGTAAATAATACATTTTTGTATAGAATGGAGTATGTTTTCTTATATATAAACTGTTTTCTATTTTAGTAATTCATATTATAGTTGTTATCCAAAACCTGAAACTCTTTTTAGAACTCTAACACTATACTGAAAAGCTTAGAAATTTAATTTTAAATTTTAAAACTTAAAGTATAGAATAATTAGATTGCATTTTAGAAACATTTTTGTTACTTTATAGTAAATATGCATTAATTATTAACATTCTAATTTTAAAGTTTCAAAAAGGTTTTGGGTAACAAGCATAATTTATACTATTAAAAGACATTCATAATAGTTAATTTTCAAGGACTTGTTCAATTTTACTCTTCAAAAAAAGGGTCACAATGAATTCAAGACCATAATATTTATTATAAATTTTTTTTTAGATTTTAATAATAATAATTATTATCAAAGTCATTATTGTAATAATTATTCTTATGACTATAACTATCATAATTACTATAAGAAAACTTATCAAAAATAACTGCCTTCAAATAAAATGGTTAAATTTATTAGTTATAAATTATCATAAAGTATATACCAGATGTATTAGAAGTTCATAAATAGAACTCTTTTGTTAATCACTAGATGATATGTGATTTGCAAAATTTTGTAAAAACTAAAAATCATTCAAAAAAAGTAACCACTAAGTAACCACTAATTTCTGATTTCTTCAACATTTTGTTTTACCTTTAGATAAAACAAAAATTTTTGTAAAAATTTTATTATTTTTTTATAGAAATAAAAGTTGCATATTTATAATTTTGTAATATATTTGCAAAAAAAGAAGTTGCACATTAAATATTCAATCAAATTTTTACAAATAATAAATGCACAAATTTTGTCTAATCTAAAAGTCAAAAAAAATTAAAAAAATTAAAAATCAGTTATTAGAAATTAGTAATTACTTTTTTTTTAAAATTTTATATTATTTGTAAACTACAATAATATTAAATATATAGCATATCAGTTGATTAAAGTGATTTACTGAAGGATTCTGTCTAGGAACTTTTTATATACTCAGTATAATAATAGTAGTAATTTGGTACTTATATGTTTTATTTTGAAACTAAAATCTTTTGTATCTTTACTACTTTAAAGCTTTCTATTAAAATTGAAAAAAAAAACTTAATTAGCTTGCACAATAAAATCCAAGACTTTTTTTTCCAGTCTGAATACCACTTTTAGCAAATTTTAGATATATCTTGAACAAATATGTTGTCATTAGGTTACCACTTGCAGTAGATTTCTGGTATATTTTCTTTATTCTTATTTATGTTTATACAATCTGATAATTAATCATTATAATAATGTGATAGCCTTCAGCAAGTTTTAAACTACAATTAATATTCTTTATTTTCAAAATATTATGCTTGTTAATTACATTCTGTCACTGTTTATATCAATTTCATGAATATCAAATAAGTTATACTACTATATATAAATACTTATCCTTGTGAGGTTGATATTAACAAGAAGCAATGATATAAAAAAAATCTTCAAATTCATTTGCTGAAGATCTATAACATGAAACTACATAAAATAAAAAACTAATTCAAACAAGTAAAGAACTTCTATTTACTTTATTTTACTAATAAACCTTAATATTTAGACTATTAACATAAATTAACACTTCTTAGATAAGCATTTTAGTTTAAAAGATATAATATTAATTATATAATAACTAGTAGTTACCAATGGAGTTAGAATTGACACTTCTGATTGTCCAATTAAAATCTATCATCAATTTGTTTATCTATCTTCTATAAGAAGACTTTCATATGATTGGTTGTTTAAATCAATTTAATTTTACATTATTTATACAGTTTAACATACCTTTTTTAAAAAAATAAAACTATGAATATAAATAAAAATGAAGTATATAGAAACTTTTATTAGGGTTGTAAAACTCAACTATTAAATATAATCAAAAGTCTTTTTTGTTTTAAAGAAATTAGCATAGTAATAAAACTTTTTATATACTTCTTTTTTGTTTATTCTTTGTGGTTTTATTTTCTTAAAAAAGTACTTCAAACTGTATAACTAATGTAAAATTAAATTGATTTAAACAGCCAATTATATGAAGTTTTTTTATAGATCTATCTCTTACTTTAGAGATTGATTATAATGTTAAAAAATATTTAATAAAAAAATAATAATAATAAAATAAAATTAGTAAAATAAATACAATCATATCTGTATTATATCTCCACTGAGTTATAGTTACATCACCATATTTGTTTGTATATTGAATTGTACCACTTGGTTATATCTTTCAAAAATTAGAGAAAAAAAAGAAATGATATAACTCAAGCATAATTGTATATATATATTAACTATAAATGCATGCTCTATGTAACTCTTTCTAAACTCATGCCATATCTTGACTCCAACTTATAAGAGCATTATATGTTTTCCTTTTTAAAAATATACACTCTCTTTAAATACATATTTGGCTTCTTTTTTTTTTATTATGATCTCATGCTTACAGAAGTTTTACTCTGTATATAAATTAATAAATAAATTAGTAAAACCAATAATATACTATATATAAATAATAATTATAATAAATGTACTTATTTATATTATTTTTTGAATGTTATCAAGAAAAAATGTACTTTGGGTTTTTGAATTTATAATGATTCCTAAAAAATAAATATAAATCTAATAAATTTATCTCTTTTGACAGAAAAGTTATAAAGCACATCCAATTTTGTATACTATTTAAATTCTCTTAATGAAGTAATTCAAATAGTATTAAAATTATTCAAATCAGATTACAAGATATCACTGTTCTCTTGTACAAAATTGAATATTCATCGGTACAAAATTGGATGTTCTTTTGTGTCAAAAAAGATAGTCTATTTTCTTTGGCAGAACCTATAAGTAACAGAAAATTTTCTTATAAGATAACTAAAAAATTTGCAATATTATTATGTAATTTTTTAAAATATACTACTGTTTTAAAATTTAATGCTAAAAATTATGAGATTTAGCTAAGAGTAGATGTGTTTATTTTGTTAATGAATTACCTTTTGAATTACCTTTTGTAATCTACTAAAAACATTAAATCACTAAATAGATTACAATTAGATTATGATGTTTATATAATTTAAATATTATGTGATTTTATGTGATAAAATAATATTATTGTTATTTCTAATAAGATTTTTGTAGTTTAAAGTTCTAGGTAAAACCTCAGTATAGATTCTTTTAAATGTAAAGTAATATTTAAAACACTATATATATTAGAGTATAGAACTTTCTATTGTTTACTAAATCAATATATAAATACAAATCATAATATATTGTTAATACAAAAAAGGATAATAAAGAAATATTCAAGATTAATATTATATAAAAGTTATGTAAAGATCATATAAATTGTTCTAAATAAAAAAAACACACTTTTTAACTAACAAGAATCTTAAAATTTTTATTATATTACAAGAACTTAGTGAGAAACTTCGATAGAGAGTTGTTTATTTATATTTAAATAGATATAATAAAAAGGAAATTGCTAAAATTCTTTATATTAGTAATACTACTACATACTAAATACTACATACTTTTCAAAAATATGAACACATTAAAAATCCATTTAAAAGTCAACTAGAACATAGAAAATCTTTTGACTGTGATGAATTAAACTTATTAAAATTCATTGTTAAGAAGAAAGTGAACTGGTATTATGATAAATTGTTAGTTGAAATGGAATCTTATACTCAAAAGTGAGTTTCTGTTTCAGCTTTATGGAGATCTCTAAAATATTGTAGTATCTTTCATAAGAAAGTAAATTAAAAATAAAATTTTATTAAATTTTATATAATATTATATATATATATTTAATCTTTTTTTTTTAATTTAGTTACAAAAAATGGCATGTAAAAGAAATAAATTTCTTAGAAGTGTATTTTTTTTCAAAATTAAAGCCAATTATTAGTCAAAGCATTTAATCTTTATAGATGAATTGTTAAAGGATGATTATAGCTCAAATAGACTTTATGGTTATGAAATAAAGGTAGTTGTGTATGTAAAAAGATTTTTTTTATTCATAAAAAGAGATATAATGTCTTGTCAGCCTTTTCATTAGATGGTATTTTGGCAGTTGATATTATGGAAGGTAGTTGTAATAAAAAATGCTTTTACAAATTTATATTATCTCAAGTGGTAAGTTAAATTTTATTGCTATTAAATTTATTTTATAATATATAGTAAATATTTATTTATTTAATAATAGATTCCAATAATAAATCTTTTTTCAAAGATGAATAGTGTTATTATTTTAGATAATGCCCAAGTGCATCATGATGAGTTTCTTATTAGAATAATAGAAGAACTCAGTTGTCATATTATTTTCTTATCTCTGTACTCTTCAGACTTTAATCCTGTAGAATTAGTATTTAGAATGATTAAAGATTGGATGAAAAGAATCAGAAATTTTATAAACATTGTAGTAGATCTCTTTTATGCACTCATGGTTGCATGTGCACAGGTTATGTCTCAAATAGCAAAAAGTTTTTTTAATGAATCAATTTATTTAGAATAAAAATATCCAAACTGCCAACAATTATTTCACTGATATCATATAGGGTTAGAAGTAGCATTTTATTATTTACTGGTATATATTTTTAGTAAATTGTCACCTGGTGTGATATTAGTTAAATGAGCTGTCAGTGAAATGATACTAAACTGTTTGTTTGATATTCATAATACATATAACTATTTATTGTATAAACTAATATTTATTCATTCTCATTATATGAATTAACTGATTTGTAAATTAGATTATTACTACAATCATTTTAAAATAAGGTTTTATTAATATTAATAGCATTTATATTAAATATTTTAAACAAATAACCCTTTTAAGACTTCATTTATAAAGGTAAAAAAACATTAAAAATGATGCAAAAAAATATTATTTTATTTAATATATGAAATAATAATATGTCTGTATTCTAATATTTATTTGCTTCTTATTTGATATTTATTCTTATCCCAATTTTTGTTACCTCTAGATCTATTAGATTTGCATCAATTAAATGTTTAATAGCATTTACAGTTATTTTTTCCTGTGCAAGTACCACTTCTAACTTTAAATATTTATCATCTCCATTACTGTAAATATCATTCAATTTTTGAAAAAATTCCTAAAGAGTTGAAAGAGATTATGCTGAAATCATTAATGTCAAATATGTTTGTTGTAAAGGTTCTGTTGAAATCGTTGATATTGAATATGTTTGTTGTAAAGGTTGTGTTGAAATCGTTGATGTAAATACATTTGTAACTGAATTTTAGTAGCATAATATATACCAAAAATAGAGTATATAGATGGTAATTCTACTGTTGTGAGTTTAGCTTTTAGTAATTAAAAAATATTTTTGTTAATATAAAATATTTTAAATTAATCTATTATAATAATACAGTAATACTATGTAACAATATTTCTTGCCTATAAATGTAAACATACAGGTATTAGTTGAAGATATTTATCTTCTTCAATGTAACAAGGTGTATAATGAATATTATATTGATATTTTATTCTAAGTTGTAAAATGATTTTAGCTAATTTAATCTTATCAGATGCAAGACTAGTTTCTTTTAGCACATGATTGTGTTTAACTTGTTTGGATTTCACTCTTGTTATTTCTTCATCAGAATCATTGTTTTCAATTGATTTCTATAACCATTAAAAAAAATTGAGTATAATTTATTATATTACAATACATTATTATAATATTTACCTTAGCTTTTCAGTTATTAGATGATTTTAATGAAACATTTAATACCATGTGTTGTTTTGAACTCAAATTTTAATACTCTAAAACAAATACATCATAATCACTACTATCTTTCAATGCTATTGCTTGACCATGTCCATTTACTTTATAAGAAATTTCAATTCCACTTCTTTTAATATTATTATCATTCATACAGTTACAAACATATTGAATAAGATTAGAATAAAATATATTAAAATTATTAGAATCAAACATAAACTATTTTGCAAGCATTGGTATAGAATTTTCATTTTTGATAATAACCTTCACTTTTAAACTTAAACAAAGATTGGAAGTTTTACTTAATATAGCAGAGTCTATTAATAAATCAAAACTTTCATCAGATAAATCTGTTAAATTATCAGAGTCTTTATTAATACTAATATAATCTATAATAGTAGAAAGAAGGTTTGGTTTTTTTGAAGCTCTTTTAGCATATTCAAATCATGAATGATATGGATTACAAAAACTAAGCTTAAAGTAATTATTAAAATCACAGTTATAACTAAAAATTCAATTAGAGTTTTAAAGAAATAATTTTTGACTTAAAGAAATTTTCTTGGGATCATAAACCTGACTATATACTTAATTATTTTTAGAACATGAAGGTTTTTTTTGTAATATCATATTTACATAGCTCTTTAGCTTAGTCTGTAAAACAAAGAAGACATTTTTGATACAAGAAGCATGTTTTGATTTTGTAAAGCAATGACATTTTAATTAGACATACAGAATTTTATAATAGTTTAAATATCTTTAACTCTGATTGTCTAAACACCAGAAATATTTTGTATATACATGTATATATGTATAAATGTTAAAAAGAAGTAGTATACAAATATAAAAATGCTGTAACATTAACAATAATGGATTAACAATAACAGATTAACAATTAGAGTGTCTAGAAAGAGAAGTAAGTAAATAAAAAAGTCTTATTAGTATAATAAGAAGTATTTAATATTATTGTGTATTTAGTATACATATTTTGTTTTATCTTGTTGCTTAGTGTCTGATATCAACAATAGTATTTAATATTAAACCTAAAAGAAAGATTCATCTATCCATTTTATGCTTAACTTTAACAGATTTAACTTGTTTTATAAAATTAAAAAATGGCATGCTTATTTATTATAATAATTATATATATTAATATATTTATATTGATATTAGTACATATATATGAACTTATTTACTTCAGACTATGATATCTTGTACAGCTGTAAGAGCCAAGCATACAGTAATCGACCTTGTAGAAGACAATTTTGAAAGATCATTTACAACATCTTTAATTTTCTATAATCTTCATACATGCTTTAACAAATTTTTTCTTTATTATCATTTATCACTTCTTCCTTATGATCAAACTATTCAAACTCTAATTCAATATATTAACAAATATAACAACAACAAAACTGTATCTAGTATTACATTTTCTGTTAATTCATCTTATAATAAAACCCACATATAT